TACTGGTTTGAATGTCAAAATAGTTTTCTATAATCGACAATTGATGATTATTTTGAACTCTACAATTGATAAATTTTAAATTGATGTAAAATTTATTTCCGTGTGTAGTTACCGATCATAGGATGTAATAAACAAAAAATGATATTTATCAATACCATCGAGAAAGAAGGGATTGAAGAGGACACTTTAAACTATCTGTACATATAAAAGAATCAATATCTGTTACGAAACAAGTCGCTAGGTCTTCCTAGATTAGTTTTCTGGAAAACCACTTTTCCAGAAATCTCGAAAAGTCCATAAAACTNTCAAAATAAGACATCTTCCACCTTTACATGACCTTTCTTTGCAAAGTTATAGAATTTACAAGAAAAGCTCTAAATTAATTTCTTCTTGTTTCTGTAGCTTTGAGCTGACAATGAACATTTAGGGCTCTTCTTATAAATTCTATAACTTTGCAAAGAAAGGTCATGTAAAGGTGGAAGATGTCTTATTTTGATCAGAATTTCGTGGACTAAAATCGTGTTCTATTAAGAGAAAGAGTTTTATGGAAAAGTTTTATGAACTTTTCGAGATTTCTGAAAAAGTAGTTTTCCAGAAAAGTGCTCCATGAAGACCTAGCGATCCGTCTCGTATGGATATTCGAAATCAGTGTGGTCCATAACCTATAAGCCACTAGGTTTCGACCAGAAAGCGATTAGACCGTTGGAAAAGGTCATTCATAAAAGAGCATAAAAAAAATGTTGATATTTACCTAATGTTTGCCAAAATTCAGATTTTGATTTTCCTCCTCTCGGTGTCCACTTTTTACATCTCGACAATGATCTAAGAAATCTGAAAAAACACGAAAGAATAAGTGGAAATAAAACTATAACAGATGAATGTTAACGTACGCTGATTCATCGTTAGAATTGAATATAGTCTTTCTCAAATGACTAAACTTTGATGCAAATAAAACTTTAACAGAAAATTTTGTTGTCGAATCAAAAAACTCTAAATAGAATGAACTATTTTAATAGTTAAATGTCTAGTCAAAGAAAGTAGATGATATAACATACGTAATTCGATGTGATGTTGTTGTGATGAATCATCAGTCGTTTGTTTATCTGACTGAATTTTCTCACTGATACGTACTGATTTATTGCGTGGAACATCAACTGATGGTTCATTTACTGAATAAAATAAACAAAACAATAGTATTGATTATATTTCAAATCATTTTTATTAAAAGTATCAATTGATGAATTGATGAAAGACTACTTTTATTGAATTAAGAATTGTGAAACTCTTCTTACTATCGTGTCAAATATTTAATCTATTTTTTATTTCATTCATCTCGTTTCTCTGAGAAATTTTTTTTTTCAACAAAATTTGTTACAAATTCACATTTTTATTCATAAACAGGTATAATAAACTCGTTGGACATACCATTTTGAATTTCTTGCAGGGCACTTCCTGGTGTTATTGGACTTTCGGACACTTTTGTCATATCCGACATAATTCCCTGTTCGATTTCATTCAATCGTGATTCATATTCCGACATACTAAATAGACAAAAATTGACATTCATCGTTTATATTCGATTTTTTCAAATGGCTTCAATATTCACCGAATATCGTGAAAATTCGTCGTGATGAGAGTGAAAACATGGATTATTACCTGAGTGCATGGGCAATAATTGAGCTCAATTCTTTATGATTAACGATATATTTTCCAGATAATTGTAAATGTTCATCATCACTAAACGGTAGTTTAATCGTATGATCATTCTCATCCGAATTATCCGAATTTGGTAATAAATTTGATAAAAATTTCATCACACCCGTTCGACGATTACTCTCATCTTCACTTTCCAATCCTAAACAATAAAAACAAAAAAAAAAGATAATTTTTACAATCGTCTTCATTTTCTATCAATATATTTCACAAATCTACTCTTCCCATACGTATTAATTTTGAATCTGAATTTTCATCATCGGCTGATACAAGAAGACCGCTGCTATCTAAAAACATTGAACGAAATTAGAATACTAAATAAACTGTAAACAATAATAAAATACCTTCTTTATCTGTTTGTGTTTCAAGTATGGGTTCAGCCTAAAAAAGAAGACGAGATACACCTTAAAAAATATTTGCAAGGCAGCCCCATATTGAGGTTAAAATGTGGAACTCCTCAACATGCAGTCATGTTATTGCAAATTGTTAGAACTTTTTATATATAACTGTTGAGGCCGCATTACAAGATCTGCACAAATGTAGTAAAATCGATCATAGCAGTATCTCATCTACAATGAGTAAGTGTCTCGAAACTTAAAAGAATGTTAAACAGTAGTTGCTATGGTAATCCAAATCAATTTACAATCGTTGTTGCGATGATTGTTCACGTGAGTTGTCCTCAACAAAACTGGATGATATTGGCTGCTCTGGTAAAGGGCATAGAATGGCTGTCATGGGTATCGAGGAGAGAGCAAGGTGTGCATTTTTCCCATACCAGGCGGACATGTCACTTTTTTGGTCAGAAACAACTTTTTTCACTTGAGTATAACTGACTATCACTAAGAGAGTCACTTCAGAACAAAACAAAACTTTTTTTAGACGAAAATATCGGTGAGAAGTATCCTTGTCTCAATTTTTTGTAAAAAGATTTTTGTTTAAAAACGTTTATGTCATACATCATTCGATGCAGTTTTTCTCGCTGATTTTGAATATAACCTTGATTTTTGATTAAAAATGTTCATGAACCGAGAAAATTCGATTTTAGCTGAAAAACCAAGGGTTTTTGGAAATCGTGTACCAAAGTTCAGGAATCGCGCAATTCAGTGTAAGAGTAATAGATGTAGCACATGTAAACAAACATTTTGACAAAGTTTGAGTAATTCTGAAGATAAAGGGGATACTCACTATACTGAAGATAGCCGGTCCGAAACATTGCCAGCTTATAGAAAGTTAATTTTCTTTCTCCAACAGTTTAACTTCAAACTGAGAAATGTTTTCACTATTATACAGTGAAAAGTATTTAGATCCAGAATATCTGTCCTTCAAGTAGGTAAGTTCGATATATTTAATTAAAAAATATTTTCCGGCCACGCGTGTGTGTTCTAAACCTGTTTTTAGCCAAGTGCTTTCCGACGAACCTTAACAGTTGGAACAAAACTTTTAACGCCATCAGATAGCCCATCTATTGAAGTATATTGATCCACATTCAAATCTTGAAAACACGCATTTTCGATTTTTGATTAACTGTCCGCCTGAATGGACC